CCAAAGCCTTGCTCAGGACATCTGCCCAGCTTGCTCCTGGTACCACCCTTGAATGCGTGCCTCTCTTTGACCCTCTCCCCTTGGCAGAGTGGCAGCCCCCTTGCTTTCCTCCTTCCTTTGGACTGTCCTTTCTCATCTTTTTGGCTTTTCCTACCTGGTGGCTCGGGCACAGTAAGCCATGCATGGGGACCTCTGATTCTGCCACGCATTTTGGACAGGGTTACCTTGGATGAAGAGCCAGAATGAGGCCCAAGTCCTGAGCTGGGTTCTTCCTTGGAGAGTTCTTAATTGAGATTCCAGAAGGAGCCGTTACAAAATCTCTTTCATTTCATAACAATGTTAGCATTTCTATAGTTTTCCATTTTGCTTCCCTACCCCGCTCTTCCTTCCTCTTCCTCTTCATTAGATTTGTAGTACTATGTTCCTTTCTCTGCTTTTTTAGATAGGAATAAGCAAATAGTGATAAACCAGTTTTTCTAATGTTAGAGAAGGTCACAGGTCAAAGATGAAACAGGCATATATTGAAAATACCACCCAAAACTACACAACCTAATATTGAAATCTCTGTGTCTCTCCCTCTCCTCCTCTCCTCCTCTCCTCCTAACTGTTGTATAACCTGGTGATTCATTATATTCCACCTCCACTTTTAAAGGAATTGCTCCGCTGTCCTTAGGCTTCTTGACCAAAGGTCAAGATCTTAGTAAAGATATTAAAAGTTTTCACAATTTAGACCAGATATTCGAGGTCTCCCTGAAGGCATCTTGAGGACAGGCTCTTCCTGCTCTTGGTTGCTAGAAGAGGGTCTCACATCCAGAAAGTTGTGGCAGGATGATGGCCCAGCACCAGCGTAGTTGGCTTTTCAGCACCAAGCAAAGCTGGGTTTTCCTCAGGCATTTGGGACTTAGCGATTATAGCCTGGTTGCCTGCTGGTTGTTTAGGGCTACAAATCCAGACAAGCATGGTTGGCGGCAAAATGCAGAAAAGTCTGCTGCCATCTGCCGATTGTCTGGATTTTTGCAGACCAGGATTGGGAACTGACAGCTGCAGCTTCTGAGATGCTGTGCCTCTCTGTTAATGAAAGCAGCACTTAACCCCTTGCCCGATGAATTGCTTAATTTCATCTGCAGCATGCAGAGAATCTCTGCTAACACACAAACCTTTATTAATTGCAGTTGCTCCAGCAGTACACACAGACACAAACAGATGTTTACATGCTATGCTGCAGAGGTGATAAAAGGGTGCCTGGGAAGAAGGGAGCGCCATGCAGATAAAAGGGAGTCTGTAAAGGAGGCCTCCCCGCCTTCTTTCTTCTCCTTGGCCAGCAGGGACTCATTACGTGTCCCCAAAGATGTCCTGGGAATGAGGGGGCTGGGTGGAGACACTGAAGCAGTAGGCTTCAGTTGAGCTTCAATGGACTTCAGGAAGGCCTGGAGGAACATTCTCCCTGGGGTTGCAATGGGTCGGACACGGCTTCGCAACTCACAACAACAGATGTTCTGGGCTGCCTGACTTGCAGCAGGGCCGATCCTTTCATCTCTCTGCTACTGCTTCAGGCCAACCCCCTTATCGCCTCTTCAGCTGCCTTGCTCTGCATTCTTCTCTGGGGTCAGGTCTGGAAACCTCTCATCCCGAGGAGACCTTCCCCAGCACTCGCTTTCTGATTGCAATTTTTCCTCCTACGAGGAGATCTCTGGGGTGAACCTCTTCTTGAGGGCAGGAGCCACCTCGCCAGGCACAGCTGTTTGCAGAGGATGGACAGGAGGGTAGAGAGGTAAACCTGCCACTTCCCTTCAAGACAGGGTTGCAGCCAGAAGAAGGGAAAGGCCCAGGTAGACAGGGCAGGTAGACAGGAGGAGGACATCCAGGAATCCCCATCTTTGCAGGCCAGTTTGTCCTTTTGGTTCGGAGATGGGAAGGCAGCTGCTCTCTCTGTTTCTCTGCCCCTGCAGTGCCCGGGTACCTCGGGAATCAGCTGGAGGCTAAGTTGGACAAGCCAGATGTGGTGAACTGGATGTGTTATCGCAAGACTGAGGATTACTTTACCATCTGGCTGAACCTCAACATGTTCCTGCCTTTTGGAGTGGACTGTTGGATCGACAACACAAGGCATGTCTGTGGGGGAGCACCCCTCTCTTCTCAGACAGACCCCCCCCCACACACACATCAACTCTACTCTTGGCCTCTCCTCTGCCTGTTGGGATGGAGGTCCTGCTGGTCCAGACCTTAGAGGGTCCCTGGCTCCCAGACAGAGGAGAAGAGGGGGTGATGCAGAGAGAGAGAGGAGACCCCAAACAAGCAGCAAGTTGAAGATCCTCTCCCAAACAGAACATATTGTCCTAAACCATTATTTGTTTTATACAACACAGTGGGTGACTTGCACAAGCTCTGCTAAACTATAAACCATGATTTATGAACAGTGGCCGATTCAAGAGTTTGCTAAGCCAAAACTAAGTAAAGTATTTTGGGTCTTACTGCAGTCGCTGAGTGCTTCTCTCGTTCATTTCACCTCAGCTCTGAGTGAAAATACGATCCCACAACTTTCCAATAGACTCTCTTGGCATCTCTTGGGAACATCCCACCCTAACCTCTGCCTCCATCCCTCCATGACTGTCAGAATTGCTGATTTTGTTATTATAGACTGCCTGGTCTCTCTTGGGGTCACTGATCCTGATGGACTCTTGTTGCTTTCACCTGGGACACCAGGCTGGGCTGGGGGCTCCCACTTCCTCCCCTCCGCCACTTCATCAACTGTTAGGCAGGCTGAGTTCAGGACTGCCTTAGAAGACCAGTCCTGGTAGCCTCCCGAAACATCTGGCAGGCATCAGGAAGGGGTTCATGGTGCAAGCCCACAACTCCATCTGCTGTTTCAGGAGTTAGTTTTAATCATGGCTTCAGCATCCCTGAAAAAAATGGGAAACTCCGGTTTTAAGATAGCTAGACAAATGTGGCATGGATTGGCCAACGGGACAGGAGTCTCCCTCCCCTGGCAGCCCCCAATCGCCCCCATGCCCTCTCAGTTGTTTCTCCCTGGTGGGAAGCAGATTTTGACTCCTGATGCCCCACGGTGGTATTTGGTGGCTGAGTGGGAGCCTTCTTTTTAAGAGCCTGTTGGCAGGGACCCCAAGCACAAGAGGCAACCAGGAGGCCTCCAGTCCACAGGATCTGAGGCCTCAACCTGGACCGTAGACCTAAAGGATCAAGGCCTGGGGTTTTTAGATCAAGGCTGCTAGTGATCCTGGTATTTAGCCCCTTCAAGTTCTCTGGTGGGATGATGGCCTTTGTTGGAAGTGGACCTCCTGGAATAATTATTGTGTTTTCTCTTGACTCGTCCTTGGGGGACACAGAGTGGTTTTCAATAAAACCACCCGGAGCATAACCAACGCCCCTGGGGTCCACATCAGAGTTCCCGGGTTTGGCCAGACCTTTTCCGTGGAATACCTGGATGGTGGCAAATTGGCAGGTGAGAACAATGAGGGGACTAGGGGGAGCCGGAGGGAAGCTCAACAGGGTGAAATGCATCCCCAAAAGTCTTTCTTCTGAGCCTTTGGTTCCTCCGAGTTCCTGGAGTTTCCTGCATGAAATAATGGCAGAGAGTTTGGGCAAAAGCCTGCTGTTGCTGGTCTTTGTTGGGGAAGGGCTACCTGCACAAGGGTCCTCCCTCTGTGGGGGTCTGATATGCAGTTATGGTGACCGGAGAGGGGAGTAGCTACAGAGGCAGCTTTTTTGCCAGTGTGGCAGAGCAACCACAGTTGCCAGAGTGTTTCCCTTCAAGGAGAGAGAGGTTTAGGGAGGACAATAATATGGTGGAAATTACATGATGGTTCTCCTGCTTTCTTGGGGGCTTTGGAAAGATCTTTGAGGGGTGCTCAGTGGAGGGCAGCCCTGTGGACTTCAGAAGTTGCTACCAGGCGTGCAGGATCTGCATGACCTTCTTTGGAATCCCTTTGATCTTGGTGCTTTCTCTAAAAACCGCTTGGCTTCTTCTGAGGGAGTCAGGAATGGTTTGTGGGGGGAGAAGAGGGGCAGAACTTCCAGGGAGGCCTTGAAGCCCCTGCCTGGACTCCATTCCCTGGAGGTCGCCCTGGCCTCCTCTCACCTCCCTTCTCTTCCTTGCTCTAGGCTACATGCACACCCTGGTGCAGCACCTGGTCAACAACGGCTACGTGCGTGATCAGAGCGTGAGAGCCGCTCCCTACGACTGG